TTTGGTTTTCTGGTACTGCAGTTTCACTGGTTTGAGATGCACAACGAATTAATCATCTGTTTTTTGGAAAAAAAAAAAATAATCCACGTCAGGACGGGGCAAATTGAAATTTAGGGACAAAAAAGAACAAGTATCTCTTAGCATCCCAAAATTTGCAGTGTTGGAGCACATATTAATGATAGCTGAAAATGCCCTTGTCATGGTCTGTGAGTGGCAACGTTCAAAAAAATGTGTAATGATGCTCAATACATCTCAAAATGGCTAAAGCTGTTTCAAATTGCTTCATCCGAAAAAACTGATCAGCTGGTAAAATCGTCAGGAGACGAAACAACATTAGGGTCACCAAAAAACTGACCGTCAGGCGATGCAATACTGGACAAAGCAACTGGAAAAGTTGCCAGATAAATAGCTGGAGAACCACGCTAATGAATTTTAGCTAATCACAGTACAAAGTATAAAATACAATTAAACTGATATTTTTTTTGCATTCATCAAACAGTGTTTGAATAGACGAAACTCATTACCGGGCATTGCCGGGGTTCCTCGAACTGCCGGCACGGATTTTTGAAGTTACCAAAATTTTACTTAAAAAAATGCTACCAAAAAATGTTACCCAGTTACAATTCTTCGCTACGCATCGGATACGAAGGGGTTTTGACTTTTGGACTATGGTGTTCTCAACTGTTTTTTTTACTTAAAGCTAGAAATTTCCAGGTTTTTGCATGGCAAATACTACGAGAATCAGTAACTGATCAAGAGCTACGAAATGTTAACATTTCGCTGCGCACATTTCATGGTGAAACCGCCGAACATCTACTTTCCCGTCAACCACCCAAGGTTTTAAATTCGTATAGTCTTTACGTATAACTAGTACCGTTGTCTTCCTCATTATATTTTTTTCCTTGCAAATTTTTTATGGACCACATCTCCAGGGGTGGGGGTCATGTTTCCTTTCATGAGATGCGGAAACAATTTGAATTAGAACTGAGAGGTTTTTAGCAGTTCACCTTAATCGAAAATACCTTTTTTACGCTCGTTTAATCAAATAGCAACACATCGAAATCCTATGGACAATCAGTGCGGTATTCCGTGTTAGTGATGTTAACGGAATGCTCCAACCATGGGCCTCTCGGTACTGAACTGCACATCTCTAGTTAGTACCCATTGCCTGTTCGATGTATACGCGCTACCTCTTCGAAGACGGCCCGAGTGGGCACAGAATTGAGTTCGGGAACCAGAAAAGCTAGAAAGCTGAAATTTTAGGGGAATATCCCCTTTTCAAGTACAACTTAAATGGTTCAAATTCAGTGTCCAGGTATGCGTGGTTTTCACGTACGGGCACTTAAAGTTTTGGCGGGCGCTTAAAGTATTAAGTAGAAGTTCAAATGTAAGTTTCAGATATTAATATTTTTCAGATTCGATTGGTTGTGAAAACAACAATGTCTTATTTCAAATGGGACCAACTGAGTGATGAGAATCGACTGACTAAAGCCAAATTATTACTCAGTCATCTCAAGAATAACGCCAAAGTACGGAACTGGACGTTACGGGAAGGGCGACCACATCGGTGAGCTGGGCTTGACAGCTTCTTGCTGCCTTTTCCAGGGGAATTAACAAGGTCTCTCAAACTTACCATCGGCACTGGATGACAGTTTTTGTCGGGGTATAGCTCCAAATTCCCTTCCCGCGGCTAATATAAGCTACTGTATTCTGGGCCTCTACTTATTACCAGTTATATAGTACTGTAGCTATCGAGGGTGTAGCCTTTTTTTACAAGCACAAAATCAGCCCCCCGGTATGCGTGATGCCCACGTACGGGTCCGAAAATGAAAATTTTTTGCGGGTAATTTGCTAACTCGGGCAGCTGAGAAGTAAGAAAACTGGGATCTTCAGGGAGTGTTCCCATCCACACAGGAATTGATGAGCTCAAACCCGATCCTCAGGTGTGCGTGATTCTCATGTACAGGTTCTTGGAAACTTTTTGCGGATAAGTTGCTAACTCGAGAAGTTGAGAAACTATAGAGTTGAAATTTTACGAGGATGTTCCCTGTTTAATCATACCATGTCACGTTTCGAACGATTCGGAAAAACTAAAAATGAGGAGTTCGATTCTTTCCCGATCTATATCCAGAAGGGACTCCGTTCATGATATACCGATGTTGTAGAAATGCTGCTTTTATAGTCAATTCTGTCTGAATGCCTGCTATATGCAAGATTTTTCAAAAAGATTGGACTGAGGAGAAAGGAGAATAATTCGTTTTTAGAACAAAACCTTCTTCACATAAAATCGTTCGAGCAGAGTTACTGTAGAAATTGCTACTTCTTCCAATCACAAAAAATGCTTTTTTTCACCTCATTGTCTCGAGAATTGAGGCAGAAATCAGTGACCCCCATGTTCACGGGTTATTCACTTAACAGATTCCAAAGATGCGTACGTTTGCGAAATCAATTGCAGGATATCAAATTCGGTGGATGCTGTATGGAAAAATTATGTAGCTTTATTTGGACGAACCGGTTTTGCTTCAATATTACCAGGACAATTAAGTCAGCTCAATCGATGAATTCAGCTGCAGCAAGCTTTAAAGATACCTCAATAAATCGAAATTTTTCTTTTTTTTTCCATTCTTCATGTTTTGCCAGTCTTGAGTGTCAGTTTTGTCTACACCTCAGAAAACGTTCACAATTTTTGAATGATACTATTTTTAATAAAAATGGCTCTTTTTTAAATTTCAAAAGATCATATTTTTCCTCCTCATAGGGAAGGAGGAAATCTCCCTCCACCAGAAAAACTTTTTTTGTGAGAAAAATCCCCATCGACTTTTTCGGCATGAATTTCATAAAAATATAAAGCGGAAATGAGGCTTCTAGGTAAGGATCTTTATATTAGGGAAGAACACTGGCGAAAATATTTCTTCTTCTTTTTTGATAATTTCTGATAATTTTGTAACAAAATTAATTATGCTTCCAAGTTTGCCAGAACCTCCAATAAGGAGTTTTTGATGTTTGTGACTTTTAGATAGATATCGCGCCTAGCTGTGCCTAATTATTTCTCTGTCCTGAGCCATCAGCCTCATGCTTGTGTTGGCCAACTACATTTTCCTCGGGACTCACCTGAGCGGTAGTACTAGCCCCAAACTTTCCCGTCCTAAGTTGTATATTTCCAACTGGTACCCACTGCCTTTTTGATGTATGCGCGTCAATTCTACGGAGGCCGCCCGTGTGGTCGTTTACTTTCTCGTGCATATCAAATACCACCTTTGATATCCGACGCCCAGTTTAGGGTCTCACATTTTGCTTTATAATTTCCAGGCTGAATTAAAACTCA